TCACACGTTCAATGTAGAAAATAGAGGATTCAAATATTTTCCTTGTAAATAGGTGATCGTTGACGCCTAAGTAAACTAAATCGCCTTTAGATATTTCCTAGACATTGTTTTACCTGGTGATAGGAACAGTGCCAAGTTAAACTGCTGATAGCAATTGGTTCAACTGCATGTTTTTCAGCGACCACTGCTATCAAGGGGAATAATTTCGGGACGCTTAGTGTTGCAAGGGAGATAATCAAATTGTGTTAGGCAAATTTAATTAGGTAATTAATAGTTTGGTTAATATGTTGTATTCTTTGTTGTGTGAGTTTGACAATAATCACTCGAAACAGTCACAATTCAGATTTTAGAAGCACACTCATGCAGTGTATTCACACAAAGTCACAAATGTTGAAAATGCAGATTAAAAGATGGAATAAAATTTAGTTGGACAAAATGCATTTTTTTTTTGTTTTTAAATGTTTTTATTTCTTTTATTTTTAAGGTTTACTAATCTAACTCCATGCCAATATGACGAGTGTCAGTAACATTGTAGAAAATGGACTCTTGAAAAAAACAGTAAGACACACACACAAAAACAGGTATATATATATCAAATATGTAATTAAACATACCTTATTGGTGATCAGGCTCAAAAAAAAAGAAAAAAAAGAAAAAAAAGAATGTAAATAAAAATAAAAATAAAAAAAAACAAAAAAAAAATTCTGCAAGAAGTTGACTGGATTGAAATAAAAAAAAATAATTACGTTTTTTACAGAATGATCAAACATGTAAACAGCTGTTGGGGCAATGATTTAAAAATTATTCATACAGCCGATTCCAATAATCATTTGAAGATTTTGGAATCGGTCTGTATAGGATTAAGAAAACCTTCTCTCTGCCGGCAGAAAGAATTTGTAAAGTCTCTGAATCTGTTGGGGGATATTTTATTTTAACTGTCCCTCGCTAATTTATTTACACGATTATTTCCCCTCCCCTCGTTACAAGTATATATACTTGTTTGTTATTTTAGTGTGCATCCTATACGGAACCGTCATTTACGCTGACGTACCTTAACCGATTCGGCCACAAAGGAGCGTTCGGTAGGCAATGTCGAATTTACTGCTTATAAACTTCAATCTTCTATGAATCTCGTACATTCATAACTGCTCTGGCGTATCAAATGTAAACAAATGACGTCATATATTAAGAAATGGACAAAGTCCGACAATTTATTTATTAAAGACGTTTTTATGTTTAACGTTCTTTTTTTATAGATACAAGTATTTAAGTAAATGCTCTGTTTATAATAATAGGCCGGTAAATGTTATTTAATACTGTTTATTATAAACAGAGCATTTACTTAAATACTTGTATCTATAAAAAAAAGAACGTTAAACATAAAAATGTCTTTAATATATATATATATATATATATATATATATATATATATATATATGGATATGGGAAACAAGTACTCACGATAACGCGAGTACTTGTTTGTTCGTATGTAACAATTTATAAGAAATAAGTATTGCTCTACTTTTGGTATTGAGACCTCTTAAATTAATGTCATGAACGTTTGAATTTATGTTCTTTTCGTTCCCATTATATATATATATATAATGGGAACGAAAAAAATAATGTGCCGTTACGTCCCATTTTATCTCTAGTGGGTTCAGCACAGCATGAGTTGGCCAAGTGGTTATCAGAGTTAAACCTATTTCTGATTATTTCTCAACCTATTGTGTATCTGACTCCTTCACCTTCTCTAAACTCATTAGAAATTGTTCTATTTCTTCTGATCACAAGATTATGGTGTCTTTCGACATTGTAAGTCTGTATACCAATATCCCCTCAAAGAAACAGCACAGATATGTGCTGATATGCTCTATAGAAGTTTCCTGGGTCCTCCCTCTATTCCTGAGCCCTTATTCTTAGAGTTCCTAACATTAGTAACAGAAGGAATAGAGTTTAGCTTTGAAAATATTATGTACTCCCAAGTAGACGGCGTTTCTATGGGCAGTCTTTTTGGGTCCCTTTTAGCCAACATCTTTGTTGGATATCATGAGAGCATTTTATTTGAGAAATATCAAAACCTTACATCTATCAACGTTATGTTGATGATACTTTTTCTCTGTTTAATAACATAGAAGAAGCCACTTTCTTTTGTGAAGCGTTAAATTCCATGCACCCGTCTTTAGTCTTCACTATAGACGAAGAAATGAATAATTCTATATCCTTTTTAGATGTTCATGTGGAACGAAAGAACAACATTTTCATCACTAGTGTGTTTCGTAAAGAAACCTTTTCAGGTCTTTACACTAATTGGAACTCATTTGTCCCCCATACCAGAAAAATAAATCTGGTTAAGACCTTAGTTCATAAGGCTTTATTAATTTGTTCCTCTAGCACACTTCAACAAGAGTTAAACAAAATTCGAGACATTCTCATCAACAATGGTTTTCCAGCCAACATTGTTGACCGCACAATAAAGCGGAAAATAGAGAATTTCAATATGCCCCCAAAATTTGGCCCAGGTCTTTGCCCTATTTATCTGAAATTACCTTGGCTTGGCAGAAAATGTAAACTTTTGACTGATAAAGTTTCGGATGTTGTTTCTGCTACCTTCTTTTCAGCCAAGGTACGTGTTGTCTTTGGTACTCGTACTGTTTTTCCGTCTTTTTCCAAGGATCGTTTGCCCTATCATAATAAAAGTTCGATTATATATAAATTTAAATGTCAGTGCGAAGCTGAATATATAGGGCGAACATGTCTTCGTTTGGAAACAAGAATCGGACAACATGTACCCAGACACATTAAATTAAATTTAGATAATCGCATTCGTGTTTCGCAATCAGCTCACGATTCGGCGATCGGGCAACACCTATTAGAAAATGAGTCATGCTCAAAACGTTTCACAATGGACTCGTTTTCAATTATATGCGTAGGCAGGTCCAAATATCATCTGTCTATTTTGGAAGCCATCTGCCTCAAATTATATATATATATATATATATATTTATATATATATATATATAAAACAAAGTTTGCATTTCGCAATTAAAAAAGCAACAAAACTAACGGACAGAGTTATTTGCAGAGGATAGCGCTTTTAAGGTAAACATTCTTTGTAAGTACAGTCAGTGCCCAATATTAAGAAAATAGGGTACTCTCTTTCTGGCAGAGAGGTTAGCAAATCACGCATGTCTTCATCTGGACCTTAGATTTTTCGTTTTGTTTACATATTATCAAATCCTCTGACACGCTGATATCAGTTCTGTCAAAACTCTAAGTAGAGAAGGTAAGTCTAAACATTCTATTTTATTTGTTTACTAAATAGTAACTGATGCAATCAACTTCTTGCATTACTTGTGATGGTCAATAAGTAATGTTTAATTACATCTCTTTTTTCATAGTTTTTTACAGAGCGTCCATTTTCTACAGATTCGTCCAAGCATCCTGGAATTTTCCAGTTCCAAGGCGTTTCCGAGTGAACCCCGCCGGGAATATCCTTCTCCTACCTATTACTCCATGTAACAGCCGGGACCAGCCACGCTGAGGTGAAACCGGCCGATCCACCTCGGCCGGAGTTGAGTTGAGGCCCGCTCCACCGAAGCGGTATCCACGGAGACCTAAATGTTTCTGGAAGGAAGGGAGAAAAGCAAGGGAGAAAAAAAAAAAAAAAGACAAGAAAGGGTCAACATTTATTGGGCCATGTAATATTTATGACTTAGAAGTTCAAACAATAAAATTCTAACTCAAATGGCAAATATAATTTAAATGTTCTGACACAATATACTATCGTGTATTTACCGTAATTATTCCTGTATAATAGCATTTCAAAGATCAATACAAATAAAATGTCACTTAGCTCATTTCGCACCTCGACTCCAGAGTTTCGTAGATGAATTTTTCGTAATTTTCAGTAGGTTTCAGCAATTGATTGCCGATCTTTGGGGGTACGTATTTTACCATGACTATTACTTATTTTATATGCCAAGATACTTCCCGATGTGGGCGATCATGGCCCTCCACTATTTCCCATCTGTGTAGCTCTTTAGCAATGCCTGTCTTTTTACTTTCTTTCTAACTGTTCAGCTATACATTTGTACAAGTTCGTCAGGTAGATTACTCAGTTTCTCTCTGCCCCACTCTGGCCTTCAATATGCCCTGTGAGTGTCAAATTCTCCAATCCTTCTTTCCTCAGTATTTGTCCAAGAAATTTCAATTGTCGCTTTCTTATTCTAAGAATAAGTGTCCATGTTGTTGACATTTTCCTTAAAACTACCTTGTTGGTCACATGACCCTCCCTGGTATTCTCAGCAACCTTCTGTAGAACCACTGTGTAAGTTTTTCTTCATATATGCTCACTAACGGTGTAACAGTGTCTGAAGGCATGAAACAGACAGCCCCCTCCATGCAATATTGATTCCTAATTCCACCTCGTCTCTGTCTATTTCTCTCTCTGTCCCTGTTTGTCTGTCTCTCTCCCCACTCTCTCTCTCTCTCCCTCTCTCGATGTATATATATATATATATATATATATATATATATATATATATCGTCAACGATAAATGAGGGTCAGCAGTGGATGGTGCCTTGCGTTTTACACTTATGCATGCTAGCAGGGGAAATTGTGGAGAAAATCAGGTAAGGGAAAGACATGTTTCATTTGTGCTTTTTTAAGTGTGATACTAGACCAGCCTTGAAATTTGTTAAAGCAGGATTTTCATGTCGTCTCTGCTTCAGAGCTTGACGAAGCTACTCATGATACTTCAGTCTACTGTCTTCAAAACTCTTTTACTTAATGAAACATGTCTTACGCCACACCTTTCGGTTTGATGCTTGGGCTTCCCAGGTTTTCAGATCAAAGTTGAGACGTTTCAAGTTGTCGTTCAATTTGTCTTTGTAGCGTAAGGGTGAACGTCCAACTGAACGCTTGGAGTTTGGTAGTTGTTCATACTGCCTGTGATGTTGTTACATTTTTAAGTATTGCGCTATTTTTGATTATATCCCACATATGGCACGAAGACAGCGCATGTGAAAGGCGTCAAGTGTGGGGTTTTCATGGACACTCCCAAGCCACCAGCCCTCATACCAGAGACGACAAACTCTCTCTCTCTCTCTCTCTCTCTCTCACTCTCTATCCATATATATATATATATATATATATATATATATATATATATATTATGAAAGTCCGACAATTGTTTTAAGATATTTTTTTATGTTTTTACGTTCTTTTACTCGATAAAAATATTTAAGTAAATGCTCTGCTTATAATAAACAGTATTAAAGACATTTACCGGCCTGAATGTCCGAGAAATTTTCATAGAAAATATGCGTCCTCCGACAGGAATCGAACCTGTATCCTACACTGAACCGTCATATAGCCTGACGTGCTTTACCGATTGAGCCACAGAGGAGCGTTCCGCTTATCAAGGTCGATTTTACTGTTTTTAAAGTACAATTCTCCATGAAAATGTCTTAAAATAATTGTCGGACTTTGTCCATTTCATAATGTGTGACGTCATTTGTTTACATTTGGATACGCATCGAGCAGATATGAATGTACGAGAGAAAATCATGGAGAATTGTACTTTAAAAACAACTTGATTATTTGCACTATTTACATTATTCGGGCTGTTATCCTCATCTTCATTGCCGTATTCACAACGTTTCGGCCTCTATATCTCTGAGATGAGGTATCATGATTACGTTTCGGCCGTTGTACGCTCCGGTCTTCTTCAGGTGATTGTAATTTCGAACTGAACCCTTTTTTTGTCCACTGAGGTATATTGTTCTAGTTCCCCGTGCCATGCCGAGTTCGAATTCTAGTCGGATCCATTACATTTACTTCTATGTAAATACCCCTGGGAAAGGCATGAATCCTCCTCTTCTCCCCCCAGCTATGGGTAAATAGCAGGACAGCCTGGGTTCTATAATATTGTGTGCCAAACGGTCTAGGAGATGGAAATTCTGAATTCAAAACTGGTCTGGAGAGTAAATAACTACACTACTTCAATTGGTACTTTTTTTACGGATGGCTCTAAACGTCTTCAGAAATATCAAATCTGCCGGCTCTATAGAACACCTTTCTTAGATCAATGTTAAAAATGACATTATGCAAATAAGGCCTGTAAGTCTAGCAAGGACCATCCTTTTCGAAAGTCGTAGTTGGCGCTACAGAATCAAAAACAAAGAACACTACCAAATAGCAGAAACCACATAGAAGTCTTTCAACAACAGTAACAACTAAAATGTATAGCAAATATAATTCGACGAGAAAATCAAACTATTCGATAATTATCAATGTGTCTTTATTTATATATTACCTGTGTATTTATTTATATTTTTCTGGTGTTATGGAATTCGCATTGCTGCCTCCTAGTGTGCTGCTTGTTGGATTTTTGTGTTAAAAGTTGTTGTACCTTTTCTATATTTCAAAACACAGGTTGAACTAATTAAATCCTTATTTGGAGACAATGAGAACAGTATACAAAAAGTGAATCTATTTTAAACTTTGATGCAAAACACTTTAAAAAGACATTGTGTTTATTTTGCAGGAGAGTTTGTTTTGTTTTGTTTTTTCTTCACTCAAAATTAGTGTGTGGGGAGCGTGTAATACATAAATGCATACTATACACGAATAATTACGGTACTTGATAATGTGATATTTTAATGAATGTTCTGAAATTTAAAAAAAAATATTATTATAATATTAATTAATAGGTTATGATTTATTATGAATTTTATACAATTTCCTTACTGTTCAGCAAAAAAAGATGGTCGGAAAGTAGTTTGGCGCAAATGTTACGATAGAAACAACAAAGACAGGCTCGAAAGAATCTGAGTTCGAAAATTTTATCTCAGAATATAATATAATATAATATAACTATATAATAATTATCAATGTGTATTTATTTATATATTTCCTGTCCCACCTGTAGTGGGAAGGGCAGTAAATCAGCTGAAGTTAGTAAATTTATGAGTGATTACTTACCTTAGTAGTTTTAATAATCTATACAAATAAAATATTTTTCTGCATTTAGACTAAATTAATCCCCGAGCAAAAGGAATAGTTTAATTAATCAGCTCCTTTATTCCTATGTTTTTTTTTAGATTGTAGTCTCATCTGTTCAAGCCTTTCATGTGAGGCACTCAGATACCTTTGTATGAATCATCTTGCTTCAACTTGATCTTGAAATAGGCTTTGTCGTTCTTTCGCTAATCTTCTTTTTCATTCGAGAGATATTTACATTTCGCTGGTATATTAAACACATAAAATTTTGAACAAGAAAAGATATTGAGCAAAAAAGCCGTTTATATAATACCAGAAGTAATCAATGAATCCTATCTCAGCTTTATTGAATCTTAATACATTGTGTCAAGACTTTTTGTTTCATTGCATCACTATTAAAAATTTCTAACAATTGGCGTCATTTTTATGGGCACGAGTGCACTAGTAAAATTTAAGATGACTAATAGTCTAATAAACAAAAGGAGTGAAATCATAGCACACTGCCGATACGCTGGTTATAAAAAACCTAAAAAGAACGGCAGACCTCGGTAGCATCCAAGATAAGCTGACGCCCATTTTGAAAAATGCTAGGGTATGAAATGACAACTAAATAAAAGGTGGTATTTTTCATATATATAGATTGCAGTCTTATTTGTTCAAGCATTTCATGTGAGTCACTCAGATACCTTTGTGGTCTTGAAATGGGTTTTGTCACCTTTATCATTCTGTTACTAAAGTTCTTTTTTCCAAGTGATATTTATATTTCACTAACGGGTGGACTACTCAGACAGCATATTACCCCCACTTACAATAGTGTCCAATGTATTTATGAGGATTGGGACATACCCATTAGTCTTCATATGTACGGTATATAACAATTTAAAACAAAAAATATAATAATAAAATTTTATCGTAGTAGTCTTAATATATCAGTATACATAATATACAATGCTATTATTATACATAATGTATAATTATAGAATACATAATAATATTATTGTATATATATCAAGATGTTGACATTCCACACTACTTCAAACAAAAGATTAGGAAGGAAACACCCATCTCTACTGGAAAGAGCGATAACAGCTACTGAACTTGAGAAACCTATGAAAAATTGTTTTAAGAGTAAGTATTTACAAATTTCAGCCGATAGAGGCACTGGCTGCTTGGTCAATGAATGACGAATGTTTCCTTATAAGGAAACGGATAATACTACCATTCCAATATAATAATGATAATTTATCATTGTAGTCCTAATGTTCTATCTCAGAATAATAATAATGATATATATGTATATATATATATATATATATATATATAATGTAATAAATTATGAAATTATTTTCAATTATTATATCATTATGACATATTATATCATATACCGGTCGTAACAGCAAAATTGTCCAAATTGGACAACAGCATAATTGCCCATCCCACAAAATGTTTAATATCTAAAATACCACTAAACTAATTGAATTTCTTTTTTCCAGGTTTTCAGATAAGACGTTTAGCCATTTTGATACCATTTGTCGTAAGAATGACTGAAGAACCTTTTGAGTTATTGAGTTGAAAAGAGAGCAGGTTAAAATTGTTTTGTGTCAGCCCCACTGACTTCCCAAAGGAAAAAAGATCATTCAGGTTTCAGTACTGGTACCAACATTCATACTCTGGTTTCCATCTTCAAGAATCCATTCAAGAACCACCAAGAAAACAGTCAATACGTTTATAAATATAACGGAACAGTAGAGAGGAAAACTGAATTAGAAGGTCACAACAGGAAAAGGAATCATCATTTCAACTTAGAGCTCAAGAGATCAATTAGAAAAGTTCCAAATCAATCCATAAAACATCTGGCACGTGAAGAAGTTTCATCTATGACAGTCCAAAGAGCAGTGAAAAAAGACGTGAAAATGAAATCCTACATGAAACCTGTGGGGCACCTTGTTACTCCAGGACAGAAAGTTAGAAGGTTAAAGGGCGAATATGATCTTCAAAAAGTTTGAAAACAGATCCTGGAATCATATATATATATATATATATATATATATATATATATATATATCATTCATGACCATCCGATATGATTAATTATTGATGAACATATCATTTTCGTCCACGATCTATTTCATGACGTTTATTCTGTTAAGCTTGGAGAGTAATTATACATTCATATTGATCAAAGTAGAGTCTAATATTGTTATCAAAATCTCGGAGAATTCCAGTAAGATATCTTTAAATCATTTCTAGGATACAATGATTCAGATCTTTTAATCTATCTATCTATCTATCTTAATCTATATATATATATATATATATATATATATATATATATATATATATATATATATATATATATGGGTATTTAGGCAGCAATCCTTCCATGGACATTTCATTGAATACGACAGACAAGGTGTTTTGATTTACTTTTTTCATAAAATTTATCATGTGATCTAATAATTGATGATAAATTATATAAAAACTGTCCTGTTTCTGCTATACATTTAGCCATTTTCAAGGTTGACATATATTAACTGTTAACAAGGAATAGATTGTTTTATGTATGTATTTATATAATGTTTCAAAACACGGTCAAGATATTGTGTCCATGTTCATAGTTGATATTACTGAGTGATAGTTTTTTGTTTTTATTAATAAGGCTTCCATTATTTTTAGCCCTTTTTCTTTGCATGTAGATGATGCAATTATATTTGTGTTGTCAACAAACATGTTACGAATAGGGTCCGGTAGGTCTCCATGAATATTTAAATGAGATCTAATTTAAATGGGATCTAATCTATTTCTTATTTGTAAATGTATAGCCGAAAGCGCTCGGATAAAAAGAACATTCGGACAGTTTTTATATAATTTATCATCTGAAAAGAAAAAAAATAATTAGATCACATGAGAAATTGTATAAAAAACTAAATCAAGGCACCTTGTCTGTTGTATTCAATGAAATGTGTGTGTATATATATATATATATATATATATATATATATATATATATATATATATATATAGATAGATCAAAAGGATAGATAGAGC